TTCAAAGTGGTATCTTTCTTCTAAAACACTTTCAAAAGATCTTGGGCACCAGAGGGCCCTGTGCAACTGGACACATGACTTCTTGACTGCTTATTCCATGGGTGTGGATTGTGGATCCAAGTAAAATGAAATCTTTAACACCATCAATCTTTTCTCCATGTATCAGCGTGATGCTTATTCATCAAATTGTGAGGATTTTCAGTTTCTTTACATTGGGGTATATGCCATACTGCAGACTCTAGTCTCTGATTTTCCTCAGTACGGGTTTCAACTCATCTTCACTTTCAGTAAGGAAGGATTGATCATCTGCATACCACAGGCGGTTAATGAATATTCCTCCAATCCTCATGCCATGTATTTCTTCATAGAGTCAGCATACAGATTGAGGAAGTAATGGTGGAAGGATACAACCCTGCTGCACACCCTTACTGATTGTAAACAATGCATTATCCCCTCATTTTGTTCCAAAAACAGCCTCCAGGTCTACGTACAAGCTCCTGATGAACTCCACTCAGTGTTCTGGAATTCCCATTTTTCCCACCGTTATTAATAAATTGTTAGGATCCACCCGATCCAATGATTTTCCACAGTCAATAAAACCAAGGTAAAGGTCTTTCTCGTACTCTGTGCTTTCAGCCAAGAGCCATCTGATACCAGCAATGATATACCAGGTGCATGTCGTCTTCTGAATCCAGCTTGCATATCTGAAAGTTCCCTGTCAATAAACTACTGCAACCATTCTTCAACTCTCTTCAGTAAGATTTTCTTGCATGTGATTTGAATGATACTGTTTCCTACTTTCCACATTCTGTGTATCTCTTCCAGTTAGTCGCCCAGGGGCCTCTCTTCCACATTTCTTGGCATAGACGAGTGAGTGCCTCCAGTACAGCATCTGTTGGTTAAAACATCTCAAAATCCAACTGGCACCAGATTTGCTTGTTATGCAACATACACATTGCCCTTAAACAGGTCAGTAATTACTGTAATGTTATAAACTCATTCAACGTCCAGTTGTACACTTATAAACACTCATATGTGTACCTTAATATCATGACACCTTTACAATTTTCTCAGGAGACACTGTTATCTCCTTTTTGAATAACACTCACCTCAGACACTTGCCGTGCATTTTATGCTGGTGTTGATTGCCCTCTTAATTGGTGATTTCTCCAAACAAGGAGGACCAATTGTTATTCTTCATGAATCACATTTTATGATCCATGCACAACTTTTCTCCATCACAGAAAGTAACTAACTGACTCAATAATTCAAATGGAGGTACACAACATGAAACAAAAACAAAAGGAATTAGGTGGAAAAAAAAAGGGTGCTGTCAAAAAAGAAGACTTACCCAATTTTCACTGTTTCAGAAAAGGTTAAAAAGTCATTGAATAAGAAATACTTCCTATTGGACTGAGAGTAATGGTGACATAACAATGGGTGTAATTAGGAGAGCAAAGTAGAAGATATTGACCAAGACACACATGTAACATCACAGGAGAAAAAGGGTCCGCATGACCACAGGTGACGAAAGATCCCCAAACCTGCAAAGTAACCTCAGGTATCTGTGAATTTGAGTCCTCACCCAGGAACAGATTGCTTCTAGCTCACTGCTTACAATGTAATTCCCTCCACGGACAATTCTTCCTTTGAAAACTTCATCCATTTCTGCTACCTGCTGACACAGTGGCCCTCAATGTGTCCTATCTCAACTTTCTCAGATTTTTCCCAGGTTTCTCTGGGGTGGAAAAGGGGTAGAATTGACTTGGGGACCACAAAGAAATATCTATGAGAGGCGAACAAAATGAAAACCAATGAGTATTTCCTTATCACTGAGCCAGCAGTGTGCCCTTCAGCTTTTTTGGAGATGGGCAGGTATGAACTCACTTGTAGGAAATAATCACACTAAAGTTGTTATGAACACAGTCAACCTCTCTATAAGGGCCCCAAAAAGAAATCTCTCCATTCTCCAACGTGACCCATGAAACCAGTGTTTACACTAGTAACAATTAAAGAGCTTCAGGGCTTTTACTCACAAGACGAATATCCCATTAGTATATGAAGCTTTCTATTCACAGACAAGCTATGGTCTGTGAGCTCCATAGACCAAGGAACCATGACCATCATGTTTACCAATTCATTCCCATTTCAGCCCAAAGACTGAAACAAAGTTGATGAGTAAAATATTTGTGATTACTAAGGAATAAATGTCGTTGTTATGTGCTCTCAAGTAGGACCCCACTCATAGCGACCCCCCCCTTGGTTCTCCGAGGGGGTATCCCGACCGAAGTAGATTGCCCAACCTTCCTTCCAAGGAGTGGCTGGTGGGTTGGAACCGCCAGCTTCCTGGTTAGCAGTCAAGTGCCTTAGGCACTATAAACTAGAGCTCTCAAGGAATAAATAGTAATAATAAATGGTTTTATTCTTACCTACTGAGGCCAGGTTTTTCAAGGTTTCCATCATGACATCTCTGTACAGTTTCCTCTGATCACAATGTAAGAAAGCCCACTCTTTCTGGGTAAAGACCACAGCCACATCCTCAACGACCAAGGAGGCCTAAAACATCCCACATGTTATGGATTAGCAAGGGACCATGGAATCCCACGTGTACAAGAACGAAGGGTCAGGCCGATAAT